GTCTAAACACCCCTCCAAGGTGGAGCACAGCCACAGATGGCAATCCCATGGGATGTTTCTGGAAAAATGGGAAGCATCCACGTGGTGACATGAAGGTGTCTCACGCTGAGAGGAAGCAAAGTGGTTCTAAACCAAGCATAAAGCATTGAGCTGAGCCTCACGCTGTCCCTGTGGATAGCCCCGTGGACACCTCACACCGCTCCAAAGCTGCGAGGTAAAACCCTTGTAGTGAGTATTGGGGGAAACAAGTCCTGGAGCCCCAGGCTCCTTGGGGGGCACTGAGCCCAGCAGATGCAGGGGCTGCGAGACAGCGAGCCCGGTGCTGTCATGGAGCAAGAGCAACTTTGACTCCTGTAACAAGCCCCAGCAATTGGACTCCCTTGGCAAATCATCCAAAATAAACAGCATCTGTTTTCACAGATGGAGAAAATTAAGACACACTAGCAACTTAGTTTGAAGTTATAAGGCCAGACATAAATAAATGAGAGGCAATCTTTCCATAAGATGGTGGCTTGATTACTGAGGATACAGACAGATGAATAAATCACCTTGGGGTGAGATAGGCTGTAACTTGCTACACATCCATGAGACAGGAGTAACTGCTCATGTGCATCCTCTGAGCCTGAAGGAAATGAGAGGCAAGTGGTATTGCTGAAGGGAGCTGCCAGGTAGGAGCATACACACAGGGGCATTTACTGCAAATTAGCTGATGCTCTGCAAGTTCACACCCTGATTTGCCTTATGGTAACTTTTTAATCTCCCTCCCTTTACTGTCTGGCCTCCTTGAATTTACATAACTGTAAAGAAATAAGAAAACAAGAGAGGTGATGTGGCATGCTTTGTAAAACTACCCTCTCAGAAGTCAACTGAAGTGCATTGAAACCCACTACTTCAAAGGGTTTAAGTCTACTTCATTGACTGGAAGGAAGATGATGGTAAGATAACTAAATCTTGGAGTATCTTGACATGAAGGCTGAGAAACCCAGGCACAAAGCTGGAGACTTACTCAACACAAACACTGTTTGAGCGTGCCAGGATGAGGAGTGGGAGCCAAAGCTCCAGGAGCTGGGTCTGCCATGGGCCCTTTGATGTTTCCAGCTCCTTCACCTTTCCCCATGTTGGGCTACTCCTGTTCATGTCTGGGTTGCTGTGGACATTACCCAGGAGTTGAAACGGTCGGTCTTCCCTATGCAGGAATGAGCGCTGGCATCTCTCTGCCATGAATGTTTTCAAGCCAACAAAGTCTTACCTCCAGTTCTACCTGATGAGCTCCCAGGTTTATACATAAACTAAGGCACAACTTCAGGCTCTTGAAATACTTGGCATTTAGTTTTTAAGGAAGTCTGGAAAAGACAGTACTGTTATTGCCCACAGTCCTGCTCCCCATCCAGGAGAATCAAAGGGAGAGGACTTGACTCTGCGCTTTCTAGCTGAAGGGATGAGGGGGACAGGGTCTATGCTGCACATTCAATCCTGGATCAACCAGATGATTTGCTCTGTCCTCTTTTTAGTCTATAAATACAGCAAGGAAGAAAGATCAGAGCCAAAAGACTGCCTGCAACAGGAAGGTTGTCAAAGGCCTTTCAGTGTTGTACAACTCAATGGTTCTAGTTCTGTCTTGACCTTTTCATAGTGTGGGACAGCATTTCTGCATGGTCCAGACTTGTGTGGGAGTCACTCAATCTGTCTTAGCTTTATGCAAAGCCTTTTCCTTGGGGCCACCATTGCTGTGAGCTGTCATAGGCTGAGAAACAGGACAAGGCAGCAGGGAATGATTGGACGTTTCTTTTCTACAGGGCATCAGAGCCATGTCTCAAACCCAGCAGAGTCCTCTGAGGTGCAAATCTCTTCAGAGGTAAAGACTGAAGAGCAGGTTGTAGCACAAAAGCCCAGCTGAGGTGCTCCTCACCTCGTATGAAAAATCACCATCACATGAAGGGAATATATTCTGCCAAGGATCTCTCAAAAGTTAATAAGGATACTGGAGATCAAGTGCTCCAGAGGTCAGCCTCCAACTTTGCCTATGGGTAGCAATCAGACTGTGCTTGTTTATCACCTCTGTACCTGCCATGAGGTTATTCTCTGACCAGACCTCCTACAAGGTTTCTAAAAGGGCGAAAAAAGAAAGCAGATGATGAAAAGGGAAGGACGACATCTCTGAAAGCCATTTGCAACTCCTAGCACCCTACTTAGTCTTTAGCCAGTTACCAGCCCTAGAAACGCTCCAAGAACAAAGTGGTGAGGTTGCTCTGCAGATACAGAAGCTGTAAGAGAAGACATCAAGAACCTTAAGGGATGTATGCAGATGTGCAGTCCTAGACAGCAGGGGCTGGGACTGGCAGCAGTGAAGGCAGCAAGAACAAACCTCCTCCATTTTACTTGGCTGTGATGGCAAAAAGATGAGAAAAAATAGGCACAGTAGAAACCAGATCACATCCACCAACCTGAGGACAAAACTGGAGACTTCATCTGCCCAAGTAGCATTGGGTCGGGAGCACAGGGAAAAGCCCTCTCACCCTAAGCTGCCACACTCATTACAGCACACGAGCATCCTCTCTGAGTCCCCTGTAGCCCTTTTCATCAGTGCCCTGAGATAACACCAGTGAAGGTGGCTTTGGGGATGAGCAAAACAAGCTACAGACTGCAGGGAGATGAGTGCTGGGTGAGCAGCTCCCTGCCCAGCTCTCTGCATTCCCCTGCCAGCACAAGAGGTGCAGGCAAGATTTCTGCTCCCTCCCCTCCTTTTCCCCCTTTCTTTTCACTTTTGGAGGGCTTGCTGGGAAGGGAAGGTTTGAAGGATTCCTCCTTCCCTTCCCCTCCTGGCCCAGCCACTCCAAAATAAACAGCCCCCAGCAAAGAACCACAGCGCTGCTTAATAAATTCACCCTGTAACGACAGAGATTTCATAGAAGAAGGGATTATTTCCAAGGATACGAAGATAATTACATGGGTAACTAGGAAGAGTTCAAGAAAACAGTTTGAATTTTCTTATCAGTTTCCCATAGCTTGGAGCAAAGAGAAAATAAAATGCTCTACTGTAATCAAATCATGTTCTCTGAAGCCCTCTCTTGGCAAGCGCACGATTTCTTCACCACTTAAACTAGAAATACTTAGAAGAAAATGACTGCATTTTGAAATGGAAAGAAGTAGGAGCCACAAGCACCACCTCAGCTGCTCATGGGTTGTTCTCACCTGGTGGGAACATGATGCCATGAGAAAAAATACCCCTCTTCCCACTGAAAGGCAAACTACCTCTTGCTGACTGCCTCTTACTACATGGCCACTACATGTGGCACTGAGGTGCTCACAGGGGACTTACTTATTCCTGCACCTAAGGACACCATAAACAAGGATTTGTCCCATTAACTCAGCAAATGCCTGTAATATTTCCTACATAAAACCTTTCCCTTGCTACGGCATCTAACTCCAGAAGCAGCTTTTTACCAGCAGGACAGTGGGGCCATGCAGCTGTGCCCCAGTGCTGACCAGTAAGGGGCTGTGGGAACACAGCATGCACTTCTGAGAAGGAGATTTTCAGCACCTTCTGAAGGACTATCAGTGAAGCTATCCTTGAAGAGCCAACCGCATCCATGGCAGAGCATACATATCTGCTCCTGACTTCTGAGATGCATCCTTGTGGTTTCACTTGCCTTCCTAGTTTTCCAAAAATAAACTTTTGGAGATTTTGGCTTGAGAGAACACTGTGCTTTTATCCTGGATGCATGTTTCCGAGCTACAATGAACCCTGCCCAGCTTCTGCTGTATCAGGTCTGTGCCTTCACAAGTATAATGCAGCTTTTGCTTACAACCACGAGTGTGATTTTAGTAGTTCAGTGTCCAGTCGATACCACCATACCTAAAGAAAAGTGCAGGTTATAAATACACAAATTAATCAACTTGAGTCATGGCACTTTGGAAGTGTAGCTGTTTAGTACCAAGATAAAAATGATTAGGGTCAAGTTATAAAAGATATTACCATTTATAGCAACCAACAGTTTGACCGGTGGTTAAAAAAGTAGGGGAAGAAGAAAAAGTGTTAAACCTAGAACCTTTATATCAACTGGAACAACCTGTCACAGACATTTCAAAAGCAGAAAACAGACATTTATAAAGAAATAAAGGCATTAAATACCCTATTCAACAGGACCAGAGCCCACAAGGAGGCATACAACACAAGAACTTGCAGCCTGGTAGGAAAGATATGATATATACTGCAGGAGATGATGTAAGAAAGTGCTCCCAAATCACCTTCAATTCACAGTTAAAACACAGACATGAGCACACCACATAAAACAGCAGCACACAGGCAAGTGCACACATACACACACACACACACATGCTCTACCTGAATCACAAAGTGTTCAAGCTAGAGATTTATTCTACTAGTTTTTAAAAGATAATTCCTGATAAACTGATGGATTACAACAACTGTTCCTCACCACATTTCAAACTCCAGGCTCTGTAAAGACTGAGTACATAGGAACAACTTATCATAAGGCACTAGAAATTTATCTTTATAGGAAGTATCTGTAAAAATAGACAAATATATGGGAAAATTCTTTTACACTTTCAGTTTTGAATCTAAAGCATTTCTAACCTCAGACAAAGTCTTGAATCTCTTTTGTTAAGATCAGCTAATACATGGTTATGGTGCTCAGAGCAATCCCCCTTGCAGTCTCAGCCCCCAAATCCATCTGTTTTGTCTATGAAGGCAGGTGCCCACCTCCCACTGACTGCAGCAGGAACCGTCACACTTGAATTTCACTGGGAAAAGGATACAGTGTGGAAATCCAACACTTCAGCATTTCAGGTATTGAAAACACTTCCCTCCTCCCCCTGGAAACTGATACAGACAAAGCAAATTTTCCTCCCCTGGAGAAACACAAATCCCCACCAAGCCCCCCCTGCATCCCCTGGGCATCACCGAACCAGAACCACCAATGTAAATGTTTGCTGCTTGGGACTCAGGTCTCACCTTAATAAAGACAGCCCACGCGGAATTGTGTTTGTATAAAAGATATTTACTTCAATTATCACACCTAGGGTGCTAGTGAATAATAATAATAATACATCGTGTGAGTTTCATACAGTGATATTGCTTCTCCATATCATATAGGGACCGTTGTACAGTGCTGAGAACAAACATTATATGGCTAACCAAACAAAGACAGAAGAAACAATGCCATTCTGCTGACGGAGGGAGCGCTGCCCTGCTACTGCCAGCCATATAAACTCTTACTTTCTTTATGTTTAAACAAATACCAAGAAATAAAATGTTACAAAAGATGAGTCACAGCAACACAACGTGGGCTTCTCAAAGCTACTTGTACAAAAAAAAAAAAAACCAACCCCAAAACCCCAAAAAACAACAAAAAAAAGACTTTTTTTTTTTCTTTTTGGTCAATTGGGTCTTTGTGAGGATTTTTTTTTTCTTTTTTTTTTCCTTTTTTTCCTCCTTTTTTCAACCTGTGATTTGTGACTATAACAAACAAGCTCTAAAAACACCTAAGACTTAGTGCGTTACAGGGGGGAAAAAAAAAGTAGAAAATACTGCTAAAAATGTAAGACACCACAAATACACTGGGGGTGAGGGGGGGGGAACTGAGCTTATTATTAAAAACAAAAACCAAGGAAAAAAAAAAAGGTTCTCAGGAAAAAGTACACCACTTTCTGTTTGAGTTCATCTTGTGCTGCGTTAGTAGTCGGGGCATTTCCAAGGTCTGCCCATTCTCATGGCAAGTAGTTATTGCACAAATGCAAAGAGTTAATTTTTTTTTTTTCATTTAAAAAGAAAACAGAACAAAATAATAAATGAAAAGGGACATGAGGGAAACAATTAGAAATATAAAGAAAAGAACATCACCCCCCCCCTCCCCAAGCCAGCCTCCATCTGCTTTGGAATTATCCAGATTCGTACAGCGACAATCTCACAGCATTCCCAGCGAGTGCTGCTTTCCCAAAAGGAATGGCAGAAAACGCTTTTCAACACAGAAATGCATAGAGGATTCTGACAGGAACAACCTTTTTGTGTCGCAGAGGTTATCCAATAATTACCAGAGGGCTTTTGTTTTGTGTCTCTCTCCCTTTTATTCTATGCCAGAAGGAAAGAACCTCGCGTGGGAAATGCGTCGGATGGTTTTTAGTGGGACCCCCTCAAAAGGCAAAGTGCAAATTTGCTTCCAGATCTTCAGAAGTGGTGATGTGCCCTGCAACTCGCTCAGCACCGCCTGTCTTTGCCCACCATAGGGTTGTACTGTGGGGCCGAGTGGGTCAGTGCTATCGGAGGCCCTTTGCACATCCCTCGTGCAGATACACGCTCCCCCTGCCATGAGCAAGGGCAATTTTGAGCACAAGGGGTTTGGCTTAATGCAGCTCTTTCTCTTGCTCGCTTGCCAAGGGTGACCTAGCCAGGGAGAGCCTGTCTGAACGTGTTCTGACACTGCAAGAAAGCTAACCACCTCCTCCGTGACCAAGATCAATTCACAACGTGTATTTCCAGAGTTCACACCAGGAAAAGTTGCTGCTGCACAAGGTGATTTTTGTCTTTTTTCCTTGACCAACTTTCAATGAGAAGAAAATCAGCTCTGAATTGAGAAATTCAAACATATGCCAACAAAGATGAACATCACAGGAAACCAGTCTCTCATTTTAAATTAACACTCTCGCGTAAATCACTATGTACTTTGACAAAGGGGCACTGCATCTTCATGACATTCTCAGTAGAGGCTCTAGGAGGCTATTTTCTCTCTCTGTATATTTTAAGTCTCTTCTCTCACAACTGAGGCTTCTTATTCTCAGTCCTAAATTATTTTAAAACTATTTAAATAATATTATTTATTAGGCATTTCAATAAAAATACTTTAAAAAAAGAAAATGATTGCTCTAGAAAACACAACAGGGGCACCATGATATGGATAGTACGATGAGCCAACACCTCCCGCTCCATCGCTAGGACAGCCCAGACCTTCTCCAACGTCCATTTAGGGGATGTGTATGCTCCTGTTGTGTTTGTATCAAACAAAAACAAACTTCAAAAAAAAACAACTGTTAAAATTAATCTCATAAATAGGACATATTAGATTGTTTTCCTAATTACAAACCACCTTTATATACTTCACCTTATGATGCTGTAGAGAGAGCAAGCTTGGAAAATAACACACAAGCGCTGGTAAGGGCTGAGGATGCCAGTGGGTGAAAACCTGTTCTTAAACCCAAATAAAGACTGGAATGACTTTATAGTGCCTCGCCACCCAGAGACCACGAGGCTCTGGGCATGGAAATGAAGACAGCGTGTATCACTAATGGCACAAGAGGACATGGTCACAGTTAGCAATGGCTGAAGTCCACAAGTGTTCCCTGAATGCTGACAGACCGGTGAGTACGCTGGGTGAGACTGAACCTTAGGAGCACACTGTGGGTGATGGTGGACTTTCTAACCCGAGACCCCACCGTGCTCCTGGAGCCAACCCAGATGGATATGTATTTTGCTCTTCCCCAGGAACCTGAATTCTCCTAAACTAGAGCTTGGGCTCGCCTGCGTTTGGCAGCTGGGATACGAACCTTCAAACGCAGAGCGAGAATTGCTATTGCACAAAGACTTCACACAGTGTTTGAAGTGCTCATCAGCAACGGGGCAACTCGTGTCGGGCCACTGAAACGCTCCTTGATGGGTGCTTGCTTCCCCCCCCACCCCCAAATGAAAAGTGGCTGTGAAAGCTGCAATCTAGATCACTGTGCTTTAGATCATTCTCCACAAAGAGATTCGGAATTAAGGCACATAGCTTTCCAAGTAGAGAAAGTTTGTTAAATAGGAAATTTAGGTCAGTAGCAAAACCTAAAAAGCTGAACGGGAAATGCGGTAACATACAGGAGTTTGGTGACTTGCCTACTGAATGAAAGTCATTTCGAGCTAAACTAAACTCTCTCCCACACAGGAAAAAAAAGAACTGATCCATGATCTCCATCTCTCTAGAGGAGGCGAGAAGGAAATGGAAGCCCTGATCAAGGAAAAAGTACAATACAGATGTGGCCTTGCTTATTCCCCACACAAATCCATTACAAACTAGATGCTCAAGTACTCACCATGTAGCCTGTACTAGCATCCAGAGGTAACTAGGTACTTTGGAAACACTTTTAAAGCTAGTAATAATTTACCCACATATAAATAATACATCAAAATAGCACTAAGGGTCTAATGTAAGCTAACAAAAGCTAGAGAAGTCTGACTGAAAGACCGATTGCAGGAAAGTTACTTGGAGATAAGATTGTACTTCTGAGCAAGTCAAGGGCCAAGTTTGATTTCTTGTCTTGGAAACACAGATGTTCGCCTCCTGAGAGGAGCTGCATAACACAGATTTCTATTTCATTCCTAAGAATACTTGAATTCACAGCTTAGGGAGAGTAAGAATGAACTGCTGCTTTAACTCGCTACTTGGCTTATTACTGATCAGCTGTTTTGGTGATTGTTTTAAATACGTCTTTACTGTTCAACTGCACACAGATAGGGGAGAGTGTATTTTACATGTGCAAGTATCTAGCATATTGACTTCTTGGAGGGCGTATTGAAGCAAAACCTCCAGAACACCTCTTACAGGATACTGCAGTCAAGGTCTGGCCCTTCCTTTCAAATGCCTTGGCTTTTGCACTTCTCAGACCCTTGGAATTATTTTGCTGTATTTTGAATGTGATCTTCCCCCTCCTCTTTAGCTAAACCTGTGTAGCTCACACAATCCAATCTCTCAGATGGATAATTCCCTCTTTACATCACGGAACTTATCTGACAAGTGGGAAAATGGCATCCTCTAAGAATCAAAATACATATTGGTTTTAAGCCCTCACTTACGTACACCCCAAATGATTCCATGAATTTGGCTGTAGCAATTCTACTGCACCATTAAGAGCAAGCACGCAAATACCACATATACAGAGGGGCTTTTCCATACTGGAATCCTGTACATATACATATTTAACAACTCCTACAAATGCATATTAATTACCCGCATAGACAGAAGAGGATAACGCAACTTAACGCCGTTGTTCTTGTTACCAATAGAGAGGTTGCGCTGTTAGAGAACATTACCACAGAATTACACAGTAACTATGCAAAAACAGGTATGTCACCATAACAGCAGGAAATTCCTGGCATGACTCTCCATTTCCAAGGATCTTTGGACGAAGATTGTACTACGGAGTACAAATAACCTCTAAACTTCAAACAAAACGTGAAAGACACAATGTCATGGGGGCTTCAGGCATCTATTTTTGCTGCACTGTTTCTTGCACAGTTTCATTATGGTGGAGAATTCAGTCATTCTCTGCATTTGGCTGTTTCAAAACATAAGGAAACTGAAATGATACTATGAAACCAACGGTTATAGACATCTACAGAACTGTGGCAAAAATCTACTGAACTCACTGTGAGTAAAGCAAGCTTGAAAAACGGCCACAATTGTCCTTCACAGAAGAGCTGGGCAAGGAAAAATACAACAATCTCATCAATTTCTTAAGAAGAGACATTTCCTTTCAATGCCAGAACGTGCTTGGGAATAGAAGTGAAAATCAAAGCCAGGGAATCAGGCCTCCAACCAGCCCTTGCTGGTTCCAGAGGATGCTGGTGATGAGGCTCACTATTAAAGTTCAGCAAATGACCTTCCTCAACTGGAAAATGACCTTACAATTAATAAGTTATCTCACATATGCCACAGAACTTGGCTTGGGGGGGGGGGGGGATCATCCCTGAGGAGAGAGATGGCACCACTTACATACCTGTTTTTAAGGCTTCTTGAAAACTTAAGTGCACAGGCCTAACGCTAACCTTCTCCAAAAGGATAAATTTCACCTTCAGAGCATAAAACTTCTAATCTTTGCATATTAATAGGGTAGGGCATAGTACATGACCTGGTCATGTAGGACAAACCAGTCCCTAGGCATAGCATAAAGGGGTTTTCTTGCTATAAAGTTCATTATTAACTCTGTTTTGTACATGGCATAGTCAATATATCTCATAAAAGAGACGGGAAGGAAAGAACAAATTGGTGAGATAATGCTTCTAAATTTCAGAGCTCAGATACACACATGAAGGAGACAGGGGCTGCTACATCACTATTCAAACTAAGAAGGTTAAGGTAGAAGAGAAATTGAGATCTCGTGCTTTCCACGCCAATGGTTCTCCTTGCAATTAAAAACCATTCAGCAAGATTTTAAACTGCTGGGGAAAGAAGTCTTTTGTTTCTACAGAATTTTAAATTCCAGATGTATTTATTTTTTAAGAAGTTGACTGTATATGCAACACTAAGGGAGAAAATCCTGATGCTCAAACAGTGGGGCAGCAGAACGTGCCAGGGGAAAGCAGTAGGTCAACACAGGAGTAAACTGAAAACTGCTTTGCAGCCATTTTTTATCTGTGAGTTAAATTTAGGAGTATGAAGCTATAAGCAGCTTGTCTCATCAGGGCCAAAACTGTCACTCACTCATGGGAAAGATGTGATTTGGTTTTAGTGAATGCTAATATCCAGCCCCTACCTAAGATACAACTCTCCACCTCCCATGTTTCTGATAGTCTTCTTCAAGAATTGCTCCCAGCTCAGCCACACACAGGGGCTGTAAGACAGAGAATACCCGAGGATATGTACACTGGGTGAAGAAGAAAGAAGAGATAATTGAAGAAACTTGCCTGTTAGGAAGCGACACAAACGAAGCAAAAATAGTGCCCTCCATCTGCATGGTAAAAATGTCACCACTTTATTTCTGGCTGGCAACAAATGCCAAGTTTACTGATCTCTTTGCAACCTTGCTAAAGGCACCGGTCCAGATTACTTTCAGTTAAGACTTCAGTTTAAATTCGAGTGCAAAGAAGTGTCTAAAACCCATTACTTTCTTTGTGTATTCTCTTAATTTATATATGGTCAAAATGCTGGGATTTTTATCCCTAACGTGCCCTGCTTTTGTCAGGAACATTTTTATTTCATACGATTTTTAAGAATACCAGAAATTAGTAATTTTAAGATGGAAAATGACTGACCTGTGACAGCAGCTGTTCTAGTAGGGGACTGCAATCACTGTTAAGGGTTTCTGTTATTTCATGACATTATTTTGTCAGATTTCCTTCAATCCTATTTCCTATGAATTTATCAACTTTGGAGTCTGAATTACCACCAGAATGCCACACTTCTCTAACTTCCTATTTCTTCCATTAAAGCACTGAAAAATAGCAACTTTTAAGTAACTGGATTAGAGAATATTGCATAGAATTCCGTCATGTTTGTGAGCCCCTTTCTCTACATCATTCCCTTATGAACAAGTTAAAAATAAGCAAAGATCTGTCACCTAATGAGAAAGGCACATAAACTGCTTTTTCTTTTTAGCCATAAAATAGATCTTTTCCTATCACAGCAAGGAGTTTATTACTAGAGGACTCACTAATGCATGATAAAGGCAGAGTGCACTGATACAGGTTCCTTTTAAGAGTGGCTCTGTTTATAGGCATTTTACACATGAATAAATAGTCAAATTCTATGTCATCAACAGCAATTGTAATTACATGCATTTCTGCCAGTACACGTGCAATTCTGTTGGCTGAAATTTGTATCCTCAAAAATGGAAGCATATTGACAATCCCATTGTACGACCCCTCTGCCAAGGGATACTCTTCCCTTGCTTTTAGCAGACATAGTACTACACTTTCTTTTCTTCCCTAACCATCCAGAGAGAAAAAAATTGACAACATTAACTGCAGTTTAAAGGTATTTCTGTTAAAATAGCCTGGGCCCTTCATCCACAGCTGAGTAAGAGCATAGAACTGGAAACAGAAAGAGAAAATAAAATTGCTTCCAGAGAACATCAGGAAAAACCAGACTCTGGCATTGGTGATTTTCTGAAAACTGCCTGTGCTTTTATCCATTATGAAAATAAATGTTGTAGGGAGGGCTCTGCTGCCATGCTCTGTGCCCTACAGAATGCCTGCCCCGTGAGGTGAGCCCCAAATCACATGCGCCTGGGTAACATCTTATTTCCTGTGTAAGCAATGAAACACGAGGGTAAAAAGCCACCGTGCTACTCTTTGGCGTTCCTTCTCCAACTTTTTATCCTTTTAATTAAAACAAAAAATTATTCTAATACACATTTTCCTAAAAGCATTACTTCAAATGCCGCACTTGATGAAAAATACAGGTAAAACCTTTCAGTGTTCAGTCTCTAAACTGGGGAGGTCTCTGCCAGTTTGGAAAGCCAGTAGGTACCTCACCTCCAACAAGAGAATCTCAGCAGTAGTTCAAGCTAATCCATTTTACTTCCCACTGAAACAGAAAAGCAGCTGTGACCTTGGCTAAAAACCGGGAACAAACAGCTGGGAACATCACTTCAACCCTACGAGCTCGATTGGAGGGCGCTTGCCTGCCCCTGCCCTTAAATAAAGCGGTCACCAAGGAACCCAAAATGACCCCCCTCAGGACGGGCCAGGTCACCCCAATAGCATCTCAGCAGGCTAATCCACATTCAACGCAGATCATTAAATATGAAACAACAAAAGGAGCTAAGCCATTAATAAAGTGCCAAAAATATAGGAAATACTGACAGCATTTTATTTGATTAATTTTGTAATAGAGACCAATGACAACCCTTGGCAGGATGGAGTGACTTCTGACTTATGAATGCTGTCTTTATCCAGCAAAATTACACGATTCAAATGTAATAATGGAGCTTAGAATTAACAGTTAGTGTTATAAAAGAAAGATTTCCTCTAGGGCAAGCTACAGATATGCTTTTTAAAAATCATTACAGCATTAAAAACTGGGCAGACGCTAGAGAATCCTACAGAATTAGTGGAAACCTGAAAAGCAAAACAAAAATAAACAGAAAAAACCCAGACGATCTAAGTTTCAAGGCACTTACGTATTGCTTATTAAGAAGAGAGATTGACCTTAACTGCTGCATTTGCGTTCAACCTACGAATACAGTTCTGCTGTCGTATAATGCAGCAAGAGCTCTCAGTAAGCATCATGGAATGCAATCATATAGACACAGGCACAAGAACAGTTTGGGGAATATTAATTTAAAGAACAAAAATAAATCTTCAAACAGAAAAAAACCCTCACTATGGAGAAAGCCGAGAGTCACCACTTGACTGCATCAAGCACCTGGATCTCAAATCAGCAGACAAGGACAGTAGAAACAGACTGGCAAGTATATTGCCTATAAAAAAAACCCAACCTGAACCAAACAACAACAACGAGAAAATACAAAGAACTTAAGAAAATATCTGTGTCTTCCAGTGAGAAGTTCTGCTTCGAGCCTGAAGACACATCTTGTTATGACTTGCATTAAGGTACGTGTATTTTTTACCAGGACGTGCATTTATCGATGGAGCTGTGCTTTGTAAGTCAAACCAGGACACTGTACACATACAGAGAGGTAACACTTTGCTTCCCCATGTTATTTCCCTCGCTGGCTGTTCCCGCGGACTAACTGCACTCGGGATCAGAAGCCGTAACCGCTTCCAGCACGTGCTGTCACATACTGGTGTCTGTTATTACAAATCGCCTCCTCAGCTCATCACAGAAAGGGGCAGTTGCTCTCTCTGTTTCTCAATTTTAGGTTTGCATCACAAGTCCCCAGTTACCCAAGGAGGTATCCTGAAACAGCTAGCAGTAAAAATAGGAAATAAATCCCTGCCTTTCAGCCTCCTAGAGCCTTCTTTTCTTAATCATGAAAAGGACTGATTTTAGTGTACTGATTCTTAATTTGTGAAAACTTGCGCTAAATGCTGCTGTTGCATGTTAAGAGACTGTAAATGAAATATGTAAGTTCTAAAACATCATGCAAGAAATGTGGTTTCACATCTTACAGTCAAAAATCCTACTTATGAATTAATACAAGCACACTGAGGTGTAATATTGGGAACATACCTTTAAAGTCGGAACTCCTCTCCCCATCCCTCCCTCCCCCAAAATCAGAAAAGTAATATTAATTAAACTTAAGAAGTAATGAATGCACCATTAAAGTGTCATCAAAAAGATGCTGACCTAAGACAAAAGTTCAATGATACACAATACGGTCAAAAAGTCTTCAATCAATAATATACAGTATGACAACTACATCTTGTAAATTATACCCAATACTGCCGGCAGTCTATCCCTCTAAAGAATATTTGCCCCCTTTCATCCCTTCCTAACAATCAGATAATAAAATACAGCACCTATAAATAAGCAAAAAAAAAAAAAATTATATATATATATATATTTATATATATATATATTCCGAAATCATCTATTGTTAGTTTTAAAGATATGGCAATAAAGGAGTCTAAATTAGCAAACTTGTAGAAGCCATAACTGATAAAACAGCTTATTGAAAAAAGGTGGCAGTAATGCACTCTATGTGTGCACAAGTACGTAAGAAAATACACAGACGTATAAAATTGCACGCACACACTCACGCACACACATCCTTCCACACACCTCTATGCTCACGCATATACATATAGACAACAGGAGGAGTTAGAGACAAGTTAGAATTTGATTTGTACTTTGATCAGCCCTAACCTGTGCATAAGATAATGGAAAAAAGGCTGTGTTTCTGCAGGGCAGAATGGTCTAGACTGGGACTCAAGAGCACGAAGGTTTTGGTTTGGAGTTTGGGCTGTTTCCATCCCGGTAAGAGCCCGTCTGGTCATTGCCATGTACTCTTTATCCACGCAAAAATAAGCTTCCCACAACTAAAACGTATTTAAAATCAGTGCTTGTGGTGGGAAGAGAGTCAGTAAATGGCCACCAACAGCAGGAAAAGGTCTCTATCTGAGGCAGCTCCAGTCCCCTCTTAGTGGTGTGTGTGACAGCAATCGTACAGATGAACTATGTTTTAATCGATTCCAGGTAAGCTGAATGTTTCGGGATATGGGATATGTCCCGAAGTAGCAGGCTGAAATGTTACTGGCCAACGTTTTTTGAGCGCTCTGTCTTTACGGAAAGGAAATCCTGTACACTACGAACCAAGTGAAATGATCAAGTACATGCTGTTTCTAAGTTGTCTCCTAAACCTCCTAGATATGAGGTCTGATCAGCGTGCTCTGTGGTTAGAGGTTAAAAAGCAGATTATAAAATACCTAGATTCAGATTTTACTTTTTTTTGTCCTGATTTGGCCTAAAATGGAGTGTATTAAACAAATTCTGGTCTGCAAAAGACCAGAATCAGTTAAAGCTATGAAACAATGTGCACTACGTGTCAATATTCTATTTCACTTACAAGAAAACACTAAGTCAGCTACCACAAATTAAGATATTTTCCTGATGTGACTTTTTGACTTTGTTTTTTTTTTTGTTAAAAAATAGGTGGAGTAAATGTGGTTTTTTTTTTTATTTTCTTTTTTTAATTCAAAGTTTCAAACAAGATTTTCTTTTCCTTTTTCTTGAAAATACGTAGGAATCCAAACTAGTGTGTTTAGAGTCGCTTGACTGTGCAATCTCTTAGTGGCAACTGAACAGCTACAAAAAACTTTTCTTTTTTATTTTTTCATTTTTTTTTTCTGCAAAATCTCCCCTTTTTTCTTTTTTTTCTTTTTTCCTGGTTTAAGAAGATAATAGTGTATTATCGCTCTGGCGCCATTAGATGGCAGATAAAAAGCCCCCTTTTAATACGTGGGTTTGATTTCTTTTTTCATCTTTTTTTTACTGTTTTTTTCTCCTTTTTTTTTTTTAAAGCCCACACCAAAGAGGAGGGCACAAGGCAAAGCTGTATGAGTTATTCCAGAAACTGTGGAAATCACTTTAGGGCAATAATAAAAACACTTCAGGGTACAAAAAAGCTTGACTACACATTTCAGTTTTCTTCCTCGAAAACAACAAACATAAATCGGGCTTAACGCTCCTTTTTTTGTTTTCTATATGCACCTTGGCCTATGGCGTTTTTGCCCTGTGGCCCGCAGGGCGGTTAAGTGCGCAACACAATAAAACCAGTAGAGGTCCAGTTTCACTTCCCAGCTCTCCAGAGTTGGGCGAGGTTTAATCTCAAAACTCCCACTCGACGGCCTCTTCCCGACTCGCGGCTTTCTCCAAGCGGTGGATGATGTTGTTCAAGTTTGCTGCTTTCTTTTTCCTCAAGGAGCTGTCTCGCGTGTTCCTGGAGCTCGCCGCCTCCGAGAAGCCGAACAAGCTCTGAAGAGAGTTGGCTTTCTGCGAGCCTGCGGCCGGCGTCGAGCTCGTACTTGGCACACTGGAGATTTTCTCTGAACTTTCTTTTGACTTGTAGGAGCTCTCCCCTGTAAGGACTGAGGTGGAGGCAGCTGAGGTAGAGGCATCCCCTTCCGTGGCAGAGTTTGGCAGTGTCTCCAGAGCTTCTCCCGGGCGCTGCGATGCCGGCGGAGAGCTCTGACGCTGTGCTCTGAGCCTGCCCTCGTCGTCGGTGTCCTCCAGGCTCTCCGCCTGGAACGGCTCCGCTTTCTCAGAAGACCTGGCGCCTTGCAGTGCCTCTTCCCCCGCTTCGAAAGCCGACTCCGCTGGCCCTCCCTGAGACTTTGTGGTTGCATTGCTGTACTCATCCGCCTCCGGGCCACTCGGCTTCCCTTCAGGTGGGCCTTCTGTGTCCACGCCGTCGCAGCTATCTCCCTCGGAGCTGTGAGCGGCCCTGCTGCTTCTGGCGGAAGGAGAGTCGCTCGACCCAGCCTGGCTCTGGCTCCCAGCTTGGATCTCCTCGATGAACAGCTCCCGGCGGATGCGAGACCTAGGACAGAGTGGAGAGGGGTGGTCAGTGGGCTTGGGGTACCACCACTGAAATGCCCAGGCACCGTTTTGCCTGGGCTACAGGCACTGCGGTGGAGGCACTCACAGCCTAAACCCAAAGGACAGAATGAAAAGGCATTTGGAAGAATGTGAAATACTATTAAGATGCTTTTAAGTTCATTTTCGCTGGCCATGTCTGCTGTGAAGGACACTGGGTCCTCCATGGCGTGGTGGGAGGGCAGCAGCCACAAAGAGGATTTTGAGCAGATTAAGGCATTTTTGGTAACTTCTGCAGTGCTCAGTGTTGAGACTGACCTTCCAACTTCAACCAGGATGTTGCTATCTATTGTAAATCTGGCACTGATGACTGCCCCTTCTAGGAACCACAGCAGGCATCATGGAATGAAGCAAAAATGCAAACCTCACAAAGATAATCAATTTGTACTTAAAATGATTGGTGAAAACCAATGAGAGATCATCTTCCCCATTTTTGCAAGTTTAAATTCAATAATGTGCGTAACTGTATGCTCAATTTTTATAGCACTGGATGTGGTTTGAGGGACAGCGATGAAAGGCTCTGCAGTCTCCCATTCTTGTGAAGTCTGACATCAGGAAGATAAAACTTTGCAACTGCTGGACCAGAAAAGGGATGATTTAAAAAATACAAATACATTTCTAGTAGATCCAGAAGAAAACAGTTTGTAAATACAGACTAATTTGGATTTCTACTAGAAATGAGCTCCAGTTTGCCTAAACAAAACACAAACGAGGAAAACGGATAATCCCCTAGGTGTTCTCCTGGTCACCAAGGAGGAATGAAGATGAAACAAAGTCCATTGTTGTGAATGTGCTCTGGGGAAGCACAGCTTTGACAGGTTATCAGTCTATGAGCTATTCTGACTTCTGCCTCACATTTCTATTCAGAAAGTCCATTTCAGAACATGAATAGTGACAAGGCAAGCAGTGCATTTCAAAAGAATTAATGCGCTCCATGTGTGCTTCAAACTGCCCATTGTGCCACCTTGTGCCTCCTATTGCTGGAAGCGTATGGTAATACCCCAAACACACTCCCTTTGCCATTTAACTTGGTTCTCTCTCTCTTCCTTCTCTGTTTGGAAGCTCCCACTATCATCACAAGTACAGAATAGCCTAAGAAATAATCCCAGGGTCAAGGCTAACTCTTCTTCTGTACTGCTCTGTCAGTGGGAGAGGTTTATGACCACTGTTCAGGTCCCAGTCTGCAACCAAGAGAGAGCCTCAGTGACTTGTGGTCAGGGACCAGACTACAGACACAGGGAGAGTTTAGCAAAACTTTCTGTTTCAGAGTGAAAATACCACTGTTTCAGCCAGGAAAAACTGCTAAGGGTCTTGCAAATCACAAGTGAAATGCTGTCCCAGTGCTGATGCCTGTATGAATTTTTCATTTTCCCTAAATGTGCTATGGAAGACAGCACACAATGGAGAAAAATTAGGATAAATGCAGAACACCATCTGAATACTGCTTTTGAAGCTAATGATATTATTGACTTACTTGAAATGCAACAGAGTATTTCAGCAGTACTTGCTGACTCTACACTTTTGAAGGATTTACAGGGTCTGTAATTTTCCCTAGGAGAATATTATTCACCTAACAGAAGACCACAGGTGCTAACATTAATTTTCTATTACCATTAATTGCATGCATCCTGCAACACTGATTATCAGGCTCTATTTATGCCTATAATCTCCCTGCATGGACACTGATCCAGAACACACTGCTACTGTAACATTTCCCCAACTCAGGAAAGGAAATGGGTAAGAGCTTTGTGCCTGCATGGCATTTTAAATACCTCAGTTCTAGCAAGATACTGAATGATGACATGCTCGAGGGGTACCTGACCACAGCCCCACACAATACAGGCTTGATGCCTGTGGAAATCCTGGAATTCACACCCCACGTATTGCTTCTGGAGTCAAGTCTGGCTCCTCATTAACATAGGAATTAAATCCCTAAGGTAAAGAAGATCTGGAAGCTAGGAAACTCCAGAGAGCATTCCTCTCAGTGGAAGGTGCTGGCCTCAACATAACACAACCTGTTGGCATTCATCGGTGTAACTCAAAATATCAGAGTTCTCCTGGGGTTCCTGTTGAAGTTCCCTGTACAAGCCTTCACACCACATCTAAACAAGCACAATGCTAATAAATGCTACTGTCGACTTTCCAGCTGGTCAATATAAAGGTAGCTTCTACTTTAGCAATCACCTTTGGAAAGTGAGGTTTGGGCTGAATCCCAAAGGAAAACCATTGCTGCAACAGGATTCCCAAGAACCAGGAGGACAAACTTCTCCAAATTTGTACCCTGCCTTATCTGAAGTTATTTTAAAGAAACAGATGCTCTGAGATGTGGAACTGCTGATGTATGAAGACTCTTCAGTTTGGAAAAGAAATGGCTGAGTATAAAAGAGATAAATAAAGTTAAATGTGGCCTGGAGAAAATGAAGAAGCGAAGGAGTACCCGTTCCTTACAATACATGAGCTGCAGAACAGTCAGACCCTGCTCCCTTAGCAGAATATGTAACTGTACCCCTTTTGCAAATGATTTAAGAGTACTTCATGCATGAAAACTAAGAAAATTGTTATGCAGGGGAAAAGAACAGGCAAGTGTGTTGATTTTCCAGTGGTGGCAACTGCTCAGAGCACCCAGGGATGCAAACAGGCTTGAAATCTGTCTTTACAGACCTGAAGACTTAGCAGCACATCTGGGAACAGGTCCAGACCCCTCAGTGCTGTGAGGCTGGTGCTACCCACCAGCTTACAGCACCTTGTTTATACATTTTTTATTCTGTATACAACTGTCAGCACCTAGCCTACATTCATGTATAGCCTGGTGTGGCTAAACACGCTGATCAATCATGACTTGTCACTCTTTCTCGCAGCACGCCTAAGCAGGAGATCTCATGATAATGAGGAAGATGACACATGCCACCAGTGCTCCCGCACTCGTCTGCATAAGTGAGAACAGCACATTTTGCTGTCAGGCCGAAGGGAACATATTTTCATAGGCATCCCTCCAACTTGTGTATAATTGCCTAGAAGTGGGAATCGGAAGAGAGGCCTGCATGTGGAGGACTCAGAGCAGTGAAAGAGGCTGCATCTGTAGTGCATTCAAGTCAGTGAAATTCAGTATAAATACGATTATTTGTTGGTTCTAATTTCTTAATTTTGTGTTGTTTACTATAAATATTGTTTAACTATTGTGCATAGTGTTTCTGAGCTACCTTATTAAACCAGGCTGCTCCTGCTTCAGCGACTTCTCTGTTTAAAGCTGAGAAGGGACAAAGTGGAAAACACCCTGTAAATGTCAGCAGTTTCCTAAAACAATCTGGACTAATTGGGAACACTACTGGCTCCAAGGGAAGGAGCAGAGTAGCACTGAATCTGGTATCTTCACTCTACCTGTTCAATAGTCATTAGCACCAATTTCTTGGAGAAAAGTCTGCTGTGCTAATTAGGATTCCCAATCCTAAGCACAGGTGATAACATGTTTATTCAAATCCTTGTAATTCTTATGCGCCTTTCTAATGCTTCTTTTTAGTGATGTCTCTAGGCCAAAACCTACTTCAATCATTCAAATGTGGTGAAGGTTCCTTCTAATATAAGCAAGGAACTAAACAGACCATCTTATTTCATTTCAGCAGGACTCAATGATTTAATCAGAACTAAATCATTTTATCATAAATAAACCTGCACCCACATCTTGACTTCAGGGCTATCAGTTCTCTGTCCTTCACGACTGTGGAGCTTCCTAGAAATACAGCAAATATTGTGCCTATTTTCAGAGCTCTGTGACTCAAGATCTAAAAGAAAATCCTGGTTTTGCTCTTATGTGGGAAAATATGAAGGAGCACAGTTCTGGTGCCATCCAGTAAAGGACACTTACAAGCACCCCCCACCAACTGACCCAGGCACAACACACCCACCAAACACCTATATGTGTGTATATACATGCAAGTGTATGTCTGTGTGAGTGTGCATATGCAAGTGAGAAATGCCAATCTTGCTTACTGCAGTGGGATTTATAAATATTCAATAGTGGACATCTCTAAATCCACGCCCACCCCAAAAGCAAGACTTTCTTGTTGAAAAGCACTACTTACATCAATATATGAATATTGCTGCTCCTCAGGGATAACTTAAAATTAGTCTGGAGCATCACTGTTAGTTAGAACCTCTTTGCTGTTGAAACTGTTCATCTTGTATGACTGCTCACTGCTAGCAGAAGCAGCACAGCAGCACCCTGCCCAAGCAAACAGAATAAATCCTTTAGGAATAGGGCTCCTGGGAGATCTCCTACCTGTAATTGTGGAACCAGTTGATCACGGTGCTGGTTTTCAAGTTGAGCTGTGTAGCAAGTTCCTCAATGGTTTTTGGTGATGGGTATGGCTTTTGCTGGTAGGCTCGTTTCAGAGCTTCTTTCTCTTCTGGTGCCAGCACCACCCGGGGCTTCTTGAGCTGGTGCTGTGGCTGTGGGCTGGCACCCTGGCTGTAGTCTATCCCAGCTGAGGAGGACTCACAGGACTGACTGTCGCTAACAGAGCTGTGTCGCCGCTTCATGTAGGCTGAAAAGAGAAGCACATCGGGTGAGCCCCAGCTGAATACAAATGCAAAATCAAAATCAATGAATGCATGAGCGGTGGAATAAATGTGAAGATGACAGGTTGTGGATGCATGGATGGGCTGTTCAGAGACAGCAGAAAGGAAGGGGCATCATCAGAGATGAGAGGCAAGCAAATGTGGGGAGGATATGAGAAGCAGAAAAAGAAGAAAGGGGACAAAAAGATGATGAATTCACTAGAAGCCTGCCAGAATTTTCTGCTTTTTCGATGTGCTACATAAATAACAGGGTTCAGGTAATACCACATTTCAGATGCACTCTTCTGAGTGGCGAATGTCCACACAAATGCCTGATTAGGACAGTTACACTTAACTTGTTTTGGTTGTTAAACCCTGCGGGTGTATGCTAAGGTTTCTCTAACACTTAAGCTCTCAGAGAGACTGTGGGAGCTGAAGGCAGCCTCAGCTTCGGCTCCAACACACGATGGCGCCCGGCGCCCAGAGATCCCAGCGCTGGGCTGAATAACCCGGCAGGCGTTTGCTGCCTTTTCCTACAGATCTTGGCTATAGCGGTGACAGGTTATGAAAGAAAAGCAGCCCACAGCATTCTCCCCCCTTAGACAAGCTCATTCAAAATTAATGTATTTAAGAAAGCTTTTGCTGCACTGATGGTGCTCAGTGAGGCTGGTGGCAGAAGCCTGTGATACCACCACCGGTGACTGCTCCCGGATGGGGACAGAATTATCCTGGCAAATTCTGCAGGGAAAGAGTCTCAGCAAAGGCTGTCACTGACTTGATTGATTTTCACCGGGCAAAGAGAGGTGGGATTTCCTGCACCTGGCAGTATCGTGCGCAAGCATTGCTAATGAGGGGGCTGAAAACAGTAAATATAGATGAGTCTTGTCAATAAAACCTTTACTGTTCTGTTAAATACCTTCTAGGTATTTAAGAGTTGAGGTATTCAAGAGCTGCAATTTGATAACCTCAGCTATTGAATTCCAGATTACACCAGCCTGACATCAATCCAACAGGCACTAAATCTCCAGGAGTTCCCATAAGAGCCAGGCACCAACGCAGGGCACGTTGCACTGGTCAGCAACCAAATTCTTCAAGAAATAAATGTTTCTCTCCCCACAGCTCTGTCTTTAGGCTGAGGGTGCACAAAGAATGAAAATTCAATGCAATCCAATAAACCGCGTGTTCAAAGCCCTTCTCACACAAGTCAGCTTCTTCTGGCAGAGCTCCTGATGGACTGGCCAGGTTTTGTGTCTCCAGCGGGTTCAGCATCCTGTCCTTTATACAGTAGTTATGTCCAGTGGGACCATTTTACACTGTGTCTTACTATCACTGAAGTGAATTTTGAATACATTCTGTAACCTTTGGGGGTATCTGCATGACTCTCATTTTGGTTTTCCTGAATATGACAGATTACCTGTGGATTGCCTACTGTGTAAGATCACTGATACGGAACAGAACGTGTGTTGCTCATGATCCATCACTCTGCCACAATGCAGTCCTGCATGCATTTGAAATAACCATAAAAAGCAAAATTGTGTTTTGGTGTTAATATTTAAGTTGTTCCAAATGGATGCAGAACTGCAAAGTGACCTCAAGGAATTGCATTATTTCAATGGGACTTGTTTGCCTTATTTTTGCAGCCTTCAAGGAACTGTTACAACCTTCAACCATGGAATTAATCACTCCAGCAATAAAAACTCACATTTATATAAGGTCCTTCATTTCAAAGCCTCCTAGGTGTTACTTCAACTTGTATGGACATACAAATTACATACAAGATTTCCTTGTCTCCTTTAAAAGCATAACCAAGAGATCTGAAAACCAGCATGTTTCACTTCAGCAACGTGCAGCAGCTTAAAGGAGGCCATGAGACAAACCAGAACCTTGCATGGAAGATGTAAAAGGTGTTTAGGCTATCTCTAACTGGAGCTTCTGGAATTCAGGCAGGCGACTGAGTTAACACGAGACACCCATGCGTCAGGATGCTCTGAATCTCTGCTTTCTCTGCTCTCCAAAGGATGGCATTTTTGGCAGGTCAGAGCTCCCATCTTTAGACTGCTGAGGTCAGCACGGAGCAGTGATACCTTGGGAAAGATATCATGCCCTAACATCCACCTCTGCTTTTGTAACCTCACACTGAGATCACAAAAGGTTCAATGGCTGATTTGGGGGTCTCTTACATGAACGGAATAAATTATACAAATGCACATATTTCCATAACATAAAAATAAAGAGGAGGATGTCCCACTGTTCTGTCATAAGCAACTCTATTCCTGCAGGATTATATATTATCAGAACAAACTTCCAGGGGGGCAAAGGCACAACTGTGGCACTTCCCCATGTGCTGAACTAGCACCCAAGCTTTTGGCTTTAATGGTGGTCTCTGGAAACTTTAGATGATGTTTATAAGAGCTTTTCCTTTCTAATTCTTATTTTAAACATATGTGCTGCGTGTAGACAACATAAGGAGATCATTCAGCACATTTGCAGTGACAGCAAAGCTCAAACTGGAATCCAAGTCACAAACACACTTTATTTCTGGAGAAGTCTGATTTTTTGCCTGTGATCGGTCTCCCCTTTTCAGGAAACCTATGAAAAACCCCCACTCAGATGTAATTTGGGGAAAGGCCTGGAGCTGGGTCTCAGCCCACCTCAAGGCCAGCTCTATCCCCAGTTTTACTGCCTTTTTTCCCTGCTGCTGTTGCCAATCCAGCATCCCTGCATCCCTCTGGGAAGACTCGCCAGCATGTGCTCAACTACAGAAGCAGCAGACGCTATTGCAGAACTCATGGCTGCCCACTGAGGTAAAACAGAGCCCCTTTTAATATAATTTTTATCTTATGCTGTATTGAACAAGATTATTAAAAAGTGAAATAATGGGGAAATAAAGGGAATTAAATTTTCTCCTGACAGCAGGATTCAGTACTGTTCTGTGAGCAGTGTGACGTTAGCAGCAGCACACACACCAGGAGGTTGTAAGGAGGAGGAATGAGCTCCTCCAAGGGTGGAAAGGTGGTGCAGGGTATCTCAGCCTAGTGAGGGTGAACCCTTGGCTTCCTCCAAAGAGGTTAGTTAATGTACACTGCACATCTTCAGAGCCTCCCAGAATGGACATTTATAGCACAAACTTCAGACTAGAGAACAGAAGAAGAGATCTATGCACCTCACCTTTATCATAATTATTAATTTACTCCCTTCATAAAGTGTGGCAGAGAAATAACTGATAATAATGTTTCACTGGTAGCAGCTACAGTTGCATTGTTCTTTAACCACCATTAGCTGAAGGGAAAGTTAAATTCTTAATGTGGCTCTAGAGCAATTCAAAAGGTTAAATCACAGGATCCTTATCTGCATGAAAGGATTCTGCAGAAAAGAGAGGCTTGAATTCACTTTAGACTGCTCTGCTATGAGGACAGCACTTACACAGTTCAGGAGCTCAGTACAGAGTCTCAACGATTTATTACCTTATCTCTATTCAGGTGCCATCTCTAGAGTACATGTATTGCACAGGATTTGATAAGAATCCAGTTTAGAAAATAGTTTTGAAAGGATATTGTCAGTACTACTTTTAAATTATTTGTATTTTATTTTCCTGCATTATGGGCAATATTCTCTTTGAGGCTACAAAAATCAACCTAGCTGACAAGTTTATTTCTGCCATGTTTCTAGCACAGCAAAACCCATCATGGTTCCCTTTGGTTTACAGCTGTAGGTGGGAAACCCAAGTGGATTTTACTCCCAGTGGAAGATCACACACAATCTGTGATAAGATACTGCTCTGCATTGTATTATACTGGTTACTATGACAAGGAGTTGAATTTGCTCTTAAAAGCATGCAAGACTATGATTTTCCCAGAAGCTCCCTCCCTGCAGTTTTAAATATAATCATTAAGTTCTTGATCAGATGTGTTAATGCTTTCAGGACATCAGTCAACAGCAGTGTTTTCAGTGCACATGACTAATGCTGTCTGTACTAATATCATTAAGGGCTAGTTTGAGAGATGTATATATCATTAATTAGTTAACTGCTGATAATGGCAGCCTCTGAGTTGCTCCTGTAAAATCACATGAATGTACTAAAACCAGGGCTCTGCATAACCACTGGATTTTAGTAATGGATTTATAGAGAGCAAGATAAAATTTCAGGATATAGTCTTTACTAAGATACCCAGTAACAGCTGAGGTGTCTCACAGGTACATACTCATGACCTACCTGGTTTTTGTGATCATGTATTAACACAATCAGCTTCCTCTATCCCTATAAAGGCCAGAAATTCAATTATTCTCAAATACCCTTTTATAAAGACTGCATTTTTCTTTCCTCCTAGTGACCATCAGTGCAGGACTGGCAAGAAGCTCTCTTGGGAATCAATGCACAGTTCTTCCAGCCCAGCATCTGTGACCAGCTGCAGTACTATTAACTAACAACCCAAAGCCAGCTCCCAAACTCACATTTCTCATTTGGTAAGGCAAGTTATCAGTGATACACTGGGGCCTCAGTGATTAATCTATAGGAGAATATAGGACTGATTTCATGACAGCTGGTGAATATTCAGGGTTTGGGGTTGTTTTTTTGTTTGGCTTTTTGTCGAGATGTATCCGCTTGAGCTAGCATCAAATACAGCTATGAAAAGCTGTCAGGAAGTCCTTTTGCATAACCTTCATAACGCTGGATCAATGCTGCCTCTATACTATTTATGGAGAATTATAAAAGACACGGTCATCTCTGAAAAAATGGAAAGCCTGAGTCAGCAGTTCTGCTCCAAGTTACCTTTTTTCTCCATTCGTTTCATATCCATCAGCTTCTCCACGTTGTTGGGATCGTTCAGCCACAGCTGCATGCGGACAAAGGGTTCCCGTCCCTTCAAACTCAGCTTGTGCCAGGGCTTCGGGCGAGCCAGAAGGTCTGAGACAGAGCCTTGTGTTAGCCCTAGGATTGTCTCCCCAAACAAACGCTGACCTAATATGAGATTGAAAATTGCATGAATTCATTCAGCTGAGAGATGAGGCTCTCTTCACAGTTATAAAGACAGACAACGTCTACAAGATCATTCATCAATTATTCTTACTTCAGAATTGCTTGAAAGCCCAAGAGAAACATTTAGAAGAATAAAAGCTCTGCCCCCCACTAAATGTGTAAATATTGAGTTTTAGTTAAATGCTTAGGATCTGACTGTGGCAAAGGGGGGAGCTCAACACGTTTGGGGAGCGGGACCTTACAGGGAAACAGTGTGCAAAAAATACAATGAATGAGATTAAAAATAAACTCAACTTTTAGCTAGGCAGGCAACTAGTGAGAGCAGGGAGGCTACTTAGCTCTTATGCAGGAGGGTAGTGCAACAGCTTCATCCCAACAGGGCAGTCCAAACGTTTCAAGCAATCAATGAACCAAGACCAATGCACCCCCCTGCATTCAGCAATGGTCATATAAGTGTCCTCCAAGGCACATGTACATATTTTGTGTTTTACTATCTGTGGTGTTCTAACTGTGTCTTACCAGCTACAGATAATCACATTTTACAATGTAACAGCTTTTTTTTTACAGCTTCTACAGCACTTCTAGTTAAGAATACTTAATTTTAATTCTCCTTCTAAATGTTATCATCTAGCATGGCAAGAACTGCATATGCTTTTCAATGTGCAACATTTGTATGCGCATTGGTAACACTAGTTTTACATGGTTAAGATCTAACTTAACAAAGACTGTGGAAAATGCCTGTGCAGCCCAAAGCCTTCCATACAGCTGCTTTTCTAACCCCCTTCACCTCAGTTTTCTTCCTCAGCTGAACTACTTTGATACATGACAGTTTTTGTTACAAGATGGAGCCTGAAGTCATCCGAGTCACTGCCTGTGATTCCTGATAGAAGCACAGCTATCATGTATTTTCAAGGTAACACAAAGATCTCTCCATACTGATCAGGTTTAGTGTCTGACCGGTAGCTCCTGAATGCCCTCACTAACACACAGCAGAACGCTTTTTCTTCACTGCCTAGCGAGGCCAGCATCTCTTACCCAGTGGCAACAAACAGATCCCTAAGGGACAATGTGGGTACATGGGGACTTGTGCTCCTACTGCTGTACAGGACACTACCACACTTACAAAAGCACCATCAGCTCTTGCCTTCACAGCCTCACCTGATCCTGACAAAACAGGTCATGGAAAATACCTGCTCTATAGACCCACCCCCCTGTGCTTAACTCCATGGATCTCCTCCTCCTCTTCAAAAAAACATCCCAAGGCTTTTGCCCTGGTGATTCTTTTTTCACCTGTATGGAGAAAGGAGAGAGTGTGGGAGCAGTCAGAAGCTGCAGAATGTCCATGCAGATGCAATGGGCAGGTGGGTCTGCAGAGCTTTTGGAGGAAGCAGCTGAGATAATGAAAGGCAGAAAGGGGAACAAAGGACTAACATGACACAGTCTGCTACTAAACCCTAAACTAACCCTCACAGAGACTGAACAGAAACCTGAAGTCAGAATTCACTTAAGCTCCTAAGTAATAAGTGATTTTCCAATACCCTCAACATCAGGAAAATCAGACAAAAGAATTAATTCAGAGCCAATTTTCGATCATGTGTATTGCAGTTAACCTACTCCCTGTTTGTACTGAAAAACACCAGTAAGGCCTCATCCATTTACCTTTAACCCTGCCAGCTATTAGCAAGATAAGACAGCTACCTTAAAAATCTTTTCATGTGCCTTCCTAAATAACTTCCCTTTAATGTTCCCCCCAGTTTCTAACCCCAAGCTGGGCTCTGACTGGAGTGCGATGAGCTCCGACAGCCGCTGTGCAGTGCCAGGGTGCCCACTGCGACTGCCCAGTAAAACAGAGCGAAGAACTGATCCAAGTCAAACCAACTTACTGAGAATAAAAGGGCCTCTTTTGACTCAGACCAACTGCTCTGGTTTGCTGTGTGGCCACATGAGCAGAAATACAAGCACAGATTTGCTGCTGAAGGAAATAAGCTTCAGGCCACAGCCTAAACATCTAAAATGCGTACTTGAAAGAAAGTAAAGATCATGCTCTCCAGGTGTTAAGAGCAAAGCTCAAGGTGCCATTATTGTATCTCAGGATATGGCAGGACAGGATGAAGTACCTGAAACACTCCCAAGGTAATGGGGAATGTGTCAGAAATCATTCTCAGGAGGTAGCAGGTATATCACATCCCATCTTCATCAGAGCGCTATTAATAACTGGAATATTTTTAAGCACAGGTTTCCTAAAACTCCTGCTAATTCTCCTCATCTTTCACCCTAATGTCCTTCATAACTGTTCCCACTGATGTAACTCCTCATGGATAAACCCTGTTCATGGTAAATTATGCTGGTTTCATGGTTAGTCCTGGCCCTTTCTGCTAAATCCCCACCACTGCAATCCTTCGATAGCTCACTTCATTTGCTTTCCTCTCCAAGTTACATACTACCCAGCAGGGAATCACTGGTAATACTATGACATTCGGGATGAGGAATACCAGCAACATCTCAGCATTAACTCTGCCACCATTACCTGCTAAAATGGTGGCTGTTGAATCAATGTTAAAAGGCATGGGAGACCCACCAAACACATCATGAATGGTTTTTGCACAACCATGGTCTTTACTGGCTGGTGTTAGTGGAACAACTGAGCCACCACCAGTTGCCTAGGACAGGTTCACAAGGCCCTGTGGCCTAAGAGAGAGAACCTGTGCACTGAGTCCATCTGGTGTACTAGCACACTGAGGGCGCAAAAGGAGACATTGAAACTGGTTCCACACCTAATGCAGAGTTTGGGGCACATTTCCTGGCTCTTCTGCTGCTTTTTAGGCTTGTCAGCCACACTGTAGGAAAACAAAAATCATGGGAAATAAAAAAGACTAAGTAAAAATGGCATCAAAGCAAAGGTCAACAAAAATACTTTTACAAACCTCTCTGGAGCACCAGAGCAGGTACAGCACTCAACAGCATTTTGCCCAAAATCTGGGGGCTTGAACCTGCAAACCCATACCATGACCTGTGGCTTCATCTCTACATTACCTCCACGGACCAAGCAACCACAGTGTGCCCATGCAAACGCTCACAAGCAAGTAATTCTGCTGGGTTCAGTGGAACACCACTTCATCAGGGTATGTCCATGATCAGGGACATTTTCTTTTCTTCCTAAATTATGTTAAATGAGAATTTGCAACCTCCCCTATCCCAATATTCTTCCCCTTAAAAACCTATCTGACATTATTCTGTGCCTAGCTGAAAAGCTTCCTTATGCACTTAAATAAAGGAGTTTTTACTTATACAGTTGTAACAGTTCACTTGATATGGATGAAGTTCTCATATAAGGACACCAGCAGTCTAAACCTAAACTTATCTTTCTGGTCCCATCTCTAGTCATTGGAGAGCAATTGGTACCTCTGGAGAGTACCAAACATCTGTTCTGGACATCTATAAACACAAGTGAAGTGAAGTGCTAAGCCCCAGAAGCCTGTACAGGTATAACACTGAGGCAGCCTTACGGGCTTCCCACTAGAGGCTTCAATGGATTCCTAAAGCTTTCCAAAGCCTTGAGAGGGAAGCAAGTGTTAAACACATATGAAGAACTAGTGATTTGGAGGCAGACTGGCAGTATTAAGCCTGGATTTCCCATACTCAGATTAGGTTATTCCCTTTGACTATTCCAAATACACAGTCATGTCAACATTACACTTAATTTGACACCCAAAACCTCATCTGTAAACAAAAGCAGCCTTAGCTTCGCACATCTCAAAGCAAAATAACTGAATGGCCCCATGTACTTCTCTACAGGTTCACCTAAACCTCAACTGAGTCTGAATTCACCCTACTAGCTCTACAGGTATGCTACACTTTTGATTGTGATGCACCTTCCTCCCCTCTGATCATGCTGGACTCCTCTAATTCACCTGTGCTTAAAATGTAGCTGCCGCCTTCAATCTATAAGCATGAGGAAAACAGCATTTCTGAAGGGGACATCTCCCTGTCTTTGGGGTTTTGGTCTTCTTGGTAGCCTGTTGGACTGTATTCAGGTTGCTAGGAGCAGCATCTGGCTGGTGAGCCAGAAGCAGAGGTTAAGAGGAGCAGGGGTATGATGATGTTTTAAATAGAGTGTGACAATCTGCAAGGATTTTTCTACCAGTTTGAAAAGAATATAAAAAGATCTTTTTAACAGGTTAAAGCTTAGGCCAGAGTCTAACCCAAGTATTTTTGTGAACATCTACTAAAATGCAGCTTAAAAATAAAAGCGTGAATACTCATTTTGGTCAAGAAATGAGAATAAAGTGATTTACCAAGATTGTTGTCCGTTAGCACTTCTTTGACCCTCTTTGTGATGCCGTAGGTATCCAGCTCAGGGGACATAGCAACCAGTTCTTGAATGCTGAGTGCCGAGTGGCCTGACAGCGGCAGAGGTGTTGTAGATTGGGATTCAGAAGCAGGTGGCTCGCTGGATTCCTGGGATTTGCCATCCTTACTTGTCTCTATAGTGGGACAGGGCTGTTGTACCAATTCAGTCAGGCTCTTCACTGATTCACTGGAACTCATGGGAGATTCAGGAGCAGGACTGCAACTGGCAGAAGTCTTTGGAGTGCTTTCTGTAATTAAAAGAAGAAAAAAGCCCCCACTTTAGCATAATAGTAATGTTTTGATTGCAGGATATTTAACTTGCCTTCTCATTTATATTCTACCTCCTTAAAGAAATGCCTAAGTATGCAAAATACTACTTGTTATGACTTGGTTAGTAAAAAGCCTCTTTTTAAAAACAGAATTATTTTCTAATTTTATCTTGAGTCATCTCTGCTTTCTCATACAGACAAGATGTACCAAATACAGATAAAAATCAGGAGAAATTGAAGCAAAATAATCCGTAAGTTTGCAAGAAATCTCCTTGCTCAGGAAATCTCAGAGTTCTGCTTTCCACAACATTTTTTGTGTAAGGATGCTTTAAAATCTCCCATTTTTAGACTGGTTTAAGCCTCCTTCTGTGGCTTGTAAGAAAACTCACTCAGCTACTATTTTGTAGTGTCAATGAGAGATTTTCTACCAGTGATACAACTTTGAAGCTGCAGAGCGTTACTGATTTCATTTTGTTTCTTATCACTCACATCACATTTTTGCACTTCTCTTTGCCTAGAAATAACTTAACAAGATTAAAATGCAGTTTGTAATTACGCTGTATTAATTAATGCGTTTGAGAACCCAACATAAAGATAGCCAGTGGATCAGGAGACACCCAAATCTGTTATTGTGACACTCTGTTTGAAAGAAAGCTTTCTGAATCTGTTAATTTGCCAACAAAAATAGGCTCTGTACAAAATGTTGTTTCCCCCTAATAAATTCACAGTTATCTCTAATGGAACGGAGCTTATGCTGAAAATCCAGACATCTAAGGGCACAGTCTAAACATATTTTCAAGTAACAACACGTAGACAATGTGGTTTAGAAGAACAATTCCCTTCCAAAGATAAAGAGCACATGCAATTTCTCCCCCATTTTTGTGGGGCTGCCCCCTCCTCCTCCTTGCTGTCTCACATCTCATTACTTGACACGGTTAATCGCATGTGTATCAGATTCATACATCAGTGGATTTGTCTTGAACTCTCTGGAGGGAGCTTACAAGGCTCTCAATAGTACAGGATGAGGCCAGTCCCCATCAAAAACTCTAACAGAACTGTTTTTTAAGCATAGCAACACAACTATGAGAGAAGCTCACTCTGCAGCATCAGCTCCTGTCACTAACAGCAAATTTCACTATTCCTCAAGTTTGTTATGGAGAGTACTGTCAAACCATTACAGCACATGCAGATTGTGCAGCATGGAAGCATATCCCAAACACTAAAGGAAAATGCTATACAAGTGGGGTCCACATGGAGCAGGGTGCATAGTGTAATTGTGTTGTTCAAGGTAACAGAAGCCTTCAAGACGCTGCTTTTTAGAGAGGTTTCCTGACACCCCTACATAAAGTTGCTTTCTCAAAGCAAGCAGCTGGACTTTTTCCTTAGTGCTTTATGAGAGATGCAAAAGAGACAGACATAAAAGGAAAGCAAGGTGCATATAAATCTTTAAGGTAATAGGGATCCTACAAATCTTATTTCTTCTCTCTGTTCACCCCAGGTCATCATACAACTGAATACAAACCCCAGCAAATGTTATTTTTGTATCAGGAGCAGCAAAGGAATTGTACTGTAAATTTGCCCTGATTCACCCATGCGAGGGACCAATTTGGCAGATCATCCATCTTGTTCACTGTACACTGTCAGGGATGGCATGAATTCCCTCCATGATAAACAGATTTCTTCTCAGGTCTGTGTCCTTTAACCCACAGCAAGGTCAAAATTATGGCTGCCTAGCTAATAAACTGCACGGCACTCGTTCAAGTTCCCTCTAATTTTGTCCCTTGTGCCAGCTTATACAAATCTTACTGAATAACTAGAGCAGCTGCAAATTTCCTATACAATTCCTCATCCGTGCACTGCAAAGCACATGCACACACGGAGCGCAGGAAAAATCCAAACCCCCCAAAGCCTCCAGCCACACAGGACTAAACAAAAGCATTTCTGAATGCTGCTTTCTCCCTCTCCTTTCCCTGCCCAGCCTAATTATGTAAACAACAAAGGTAATCTCTGATATCATCTATCACTAAAATGCTCTATGTTGCTCACATATTAGCTTATTTATTTTTTATATCACATATCAAGAGCTTACTTGCATTTCATTTTTCAGACCAATCTGCTCCTTATTTACTCAAAAAGGTGGGATTATCTGAATCTAATTTTGGAAAGCAGTCCAGATGACAAACTGCTTTTCTTCCCCCAATGCAACACAAGTGTACAGTGATTTCAGATGAGGCATTCTGCACATATACTCCAAATAACTCAAAATATGGTCCCCATTCATTTTTAGCATTGCTCCCTGATGCAAAACCGTTTTCAATACCACATAAATATTTGAGGAAAAGATCCATTATTTGGAAAAGTAAATTCAATAATCAAATAATGCAAACATTTCCTGGTAATCTACTTAAAAAATTAAATAGACATTTAGAGTGCAAGTGACTGCTGACAGAACAAAGGGGAAAATTGAATGTATTCACTGTTACAGATTTAACTGTCAATCCACAGCCATTTTGCATGGTTTATGAAATAATTTGTCTGTATTCATTTCTCTCAAGTTCCTCCCAGGACAAAGGAACAAATTCAGGACATCTGAAAAATACATATTAAGATTTCCAAAGTAGCAATTGAACATTTCCAATGAAAATAATCCACTGGAAGCTTAGTTCTTTAAAACGCCTTCTGCTTTTTTAACCCCAGACTGCACTGAAGAGCAGCACTAGCCTAAGAGCGATGCAGTTTCTTAAGAGGGAATAAGTGATGTTCAGCGAATGTTTACATGTTTGTATTTAGTGAGGAAGGGATTATTCTGTCAATACAAGTCTGAAACTGCATTACAGTCGGCTGTAGGACCTGCAAACCCCACAGCCATAATTTATTGATGGCGTTGCTTTAATAAATTCCAGAGAAACTTTGCTATACCAAAGGGGTGTTTTGCTTTGCTTTCCAACAGCCTGTATCCAGTTGAAAACCTGAAGCAAAAGCCCCAAAATAAGGTGCTAGAAGTAAAGAGCTGGAAAGACCAAACGCATCACCAGTGACAAGGTCATTGCAGAACCTGGGACTTTTTTTAAGGTCTCAGGTAACCAAAGACATCAGCCATGCCCTGTGCTTTACAGTCGATGGGAGAAACAGGGTGTCCCCAAACTAGCTTGGTGGGAAGACCATTAGGACCTAAGCTTTGATTATGACACAGTTCAACGTGACAATTTTAAATGACTGGGAAACAGGTGTATCTTTTTGTGCACTTACAGGTTGATGTTGACAAACAGCATTAAAGGTTCAAATAAATACATTTAAGTGATCCAAATCTTCTAACACTGCAGTCATGAAAGGGCAAAGGCACTACCATGCATTTCTTACATTATTCATTTGAAATATACATCTGGGCTATAGGGAAGTTGAGGCACTTCCAACCAACTGTGATATCTGCATAAACGAGTCAACAATCTGAAATACTTGGCCATTGCAACAGGCCTCCATTCATAGCTAAAACACAAAGACAACTGAAAGACCAACACTGGCTATTTCACAGCTGATGGACATAGAGAGAGCCATGACCATCCAGTGAAGGTGAGTATTCAAGTCTTTGAAGGCAAACAGATCTTCATAAAGACAAATACAAGGGATGCAGTTTGCAAACACCAAAGAGACATACTTGGGACCACATCATTCCTGGCAGAACACCTGGTCCTTACCCTTAACTAGGGAAATTCTTCAGTTTTGTTTTTTTTCTATTACAGTACTAGAGAGGGATGCATAATCTGAACTGAGGGTATATAAATGGATGGAAACAAAGTCAACATTATACAAATACCTTCTATTTTCTTTTTAAAATACTATTTTCCCAATATAAAATTGCTGCTTGAATGACCATCTCACTGCAACAAAACCCCAAACCATCACAGCTTTCCATCTGTATCCCTTAGTAGGTATCAGTTAAGAAACTAAACAAACTTTGCAAACAATTCAGCATATAGGATGAGGGCCTGTCTGAGCATTTTACAGAACTCACTGAGAACCATAACAAATTGCCCTTGCCTTCATTTATATGAACACAGAAAATCTTATGTGCTCTTGCACTCCTTAGCACAATGGATGAAGCTAAATGATGCTTTGGTCCTATCTATCCTCTCCACCTTCCCCATGAGTGTCATGGAAATGTGAGAAAGGCTGAAAATACAGTTTCCAGTCTCAGTTCATTGGTTATGGTGGTTTTCCTGAACTTAACACTAGTAGATTTTCTTACTCTTCTTCAATGACAAGACTTCCCACTCCCACACTGGGGTCAGGTCCTCAGTACTGGGTCCTGGATCCTGAATTGCTTGAACACTGCAGTTTAACCATGCCAAGTGTAATGTCCTACACCTGGGTCAGGGCAATCCCAGACACAGCTACAGGTTGGGCAGAGAAGAGATTCAGAACAGCCCTGTGGAGAAGGACTTGGGGGTGCTGGTCGATGAGAAAATGAACATGAGCCAGCTTCAGTGTGCGCTTGCAGCCCAGAAAGCAACCGTATCCTGGGCTGCATCAAAAGGAGCGTGACCAGCAGGTCGAAGGAGGTGATCCTGCCCCTTTATTCTGTTCTTGTGAGACCTCACTTGGAGTATTGTGTACAGTTCTGGTGTCCTCAACATAAAAAGGACATGGATCTGATGGAACAAGTCCAGAGGAGGCCATGAGAATAATCAGGGGACTGGAGCACCTCCCGTATGAAGATAGGCTGAGAAAGTTGGGGCTGCTCAGCCTGGAGAAGAGAAGGCTGCGTGGGGACCTCATAGCAGCCTTCCAGTATCTGAAGGGGGCATATAGGGATGCTGGGGAGGGACTCTTCATTAGGGACTGTAGTGACAGGACAAGGGGTAAAGGGTTAACACTTAAACAGGGGAAGTTTATATTGAATATAAGGAGGAAATTCTTTCCTATTAGGGTAGTGAGGCACTGGAATGAGTTGCCCAAGGAGGTTGTGAATGCTCCATCCC